GTATTCTATTATTTTCACTATGTTCAATCTGGTGTGTACGGTGACTACTTGTAAGTGGTGGTGGTGGTCTTGTATGATCAGTTGGGCGGAGAGATTGTTCATCAGATCTCTTCATTATTGGTTCCAAATTATCACGATTTTCATTAAAATTAAGAGGTGGAAGGGGTTCATGTGTTGAAGTGAGCGACTCAGATGGATGATAAGTAGAAACACCATTACTAGATCGTTCCTCTGACTTGCTAACTTTATCAAAAACATCAGGATCTCGACGATCAACAGATGTTGAATGATGAGAGATATCATGATGTGAATGTTGATGATAACTTGGAATTTGAGAACTACCGTGGTCAGGTATCATCCGTGGGGAAGGAGGAAAATTAGGTCTCAATTGATATGATTCAGATAATTGAGGGGAATGTCTTGGATGTCGATCATCTTGCATTTGAATTTGAGGAAGTTGTGGAGAAGGAGATGTACGCTTATCCGGAGTGTGGCGTAAAGGTGGCGGTGGTTGTGGTTGAGACTGGTGAGAAGTCAATGATCTCTGATCATGTGGTGGCATTACGGGATTAAGAGTATGTGGTTGATTAGGTGGAGTTGGTGGTCTATCACGAATATGAGGCGGTGGCGGAGCAGTATAAGTATTTGGACCAGGACTACTTCTTCTATTCATTGGAGGTAAATCACGATGAGAACCTTCAACGTGGCCATGAATAGATGATAGAATAGGAACAGGAGTATGACTTTGACGATTATCAACTTGTCTACCATATCCTGGCATGCCAGGAGGGCCTGGAGGACCAGGAGTAGGTTGAGCGAATGTTGGAGTATTACCACCAAGCATGTTAGGAGGACCATTACTAGATTGATACGCTTGAGGGTTCACATCTTGAGGAATTGGAGCAGATGTTTGACCACCTGCTTGTTGAGATCTCAACATTTGTAAACGTTGTTTTATATGTGGATTACTTGGATCCAATTCCGCAGCACGTTGATACGCGTCAAGAGCATCATTGATCTGATTGTTACAGGATTCATATAGAGTACCAAGGTCGTACCACACTTCACTGATGTATGGATTCAAACGAATCGCACGACTATAAGCATCTAAAGCATCCCGGAACTATAAACAATAAGATAATTTTATTGTTTTTAGTAATTTGCTCTTTTTAAAATAATAATAATAATAATAATAAATTTATAAATTTATTTTATACTTGATTTATTTGATAGTAAAGAACACCAATTGATGCTGAATGACAACAGAATGAGCATTAAGATTATATACAAATATGAAAATGGAATTTACAAACATTGAGATTTAAAACTCAATATATTCCAAATTATATGTATATGAGTGCACTAACAATTAAATGATTTACTTTTTGACAGTTGATTTAGCTTTGTAGTTTTTTGATAGTAATTGTAATTAAAGGGCTCAGAGATATTTGTTTACTATTTTATGATTAGCATTTGCTAGTTTACAACAGCTATGCTCAAATTATTATGCTTAAACAATTTATACTTTTGAAAATTTGTTGAATTTTTTTATTTGGTATTTTTCTTTTTCTTT